ACTTTGCTTGGCAAATGCTGCTCTTTTGGCCTAATATGGTTGGCTATTCCAGGGAATGAGGATCTCCTTGATATAATTGTTCACCTTATAGGGTCTGTCTTACAGTTTGGCATGGGAGTTTTGTTCTAGGTTCAAAGAGCAATCAAAGGCCTTAGTGTCAGGAGTACTACCAGTCTCACAGGGTTTTTTCTTTTTCTCATTTTTTTGATGGGTTTGCATATAATTATTTATATAAATCATGTTTTCTACATGTACTTTTTTTTGTGCAAACATTCATATTATATAAAGAGCTTGGGGCCCTATCTGATCTTTATCAACTATACAATGGGGAACTATCTCCTTCAACAGCATCAACAACACAAACCCGATTCCCATGAGATCAGACGTGTTGCCCACACTTCTATACCTCTTTGTGCGCATCCTAACACCAATCTTACTTTGTTGTTGTTGTTGTTATGTGCCATCAAGTAGCCAGTGACTCATAGCGATCTCTGTACGCTAGCTCTGAAACCTGCTCTGTCCGGAGCCAATCTCATCGTCTCCAACAAATCTAATCCCATCCCTCCAGTCACTGAGTCAATCCATCTCATCTGTCCCTCCACCCTTCCGAGCATGATGTCCATCTCCAAGGACTGCTCCCTCCTGGCGACATGCCCAAAATAAGTGAGATGGAGCCTCAAAATCCTTGCCTCCAGGGAGCAAGGATTTCACCATCTCCAGGACAGACCTGTTTATTCTCCCGGCAGTGTACTGTATATTCAACACTCTCTCTTCCAGCACCACAACTCAAAGGCATTGATCCTTCTATCATTTTTATTTTGTTGTTGTTGTTGTATATTTTACTGGGTACAAAATCTGATGCAATAGCTCACAGATCACCCAGAACCATACTGGGGAAGTCAAAAGGCTAGTAGAAGAATACAATCAGTACAGCTTCCAAAATGCTCACAGGCCCATCACTGAGCCTCACGCCTTTGGGTCAGAATTACAAAGTTCTCAGTTCTGCCAATGAAGGCTCTGCCTTTCCAGGTCCCAGTCCTCCAGCTTGGGCAGAGGCTCTGAGCTCTGGTTCCCCGTGATGTGGCAGTCCAAGGGCCACTGCATCTCATGCAAGGTCTCTGCTTCTCTGCTGTGGCTGATAGGGCTGTTGCTCCTATAGACCCTAGTCTGACAGATACAAGAATATCTGGCCCCAAAGGATGTGTTACATTCTGTCTTCTTCTTCTTCTTGGCTGGTGGTGCAGTTCTTGAATTCTGCTGGATTTGCTCAATTTAATAGTGAGACTAGCCAATCCCCTTGTGGATAGGTTAATATTTCTTATTAGTACACTCCCACCCATCTACATGACAAAGTCAGTTAATAGCTAGGGAGGCCATTTTTTTAATTAGAAATTATTTTTTTAATGCAACATATGTATTTTTTACAGCATATTCTTTCCATTTAATTTCCCCCATTCATTCATTATTGCATATTTTCCTCCCTGCAATACCCCTCCCCGCAGTTCATTTTTCTTTGAAAAGAAAAAAAAAATCTTTGTGATATAATCCCCTCCCAAGTCCAGTTCACTTTACTATGCATTTCTTTTTCTGTTAATACTGTTATGAAAATAATACCTAATCCTATATTCTTTTTAAACAGTTCTCTCCCTTATCTGTTTCAATGCAGTATATATTATTTATCACCTTTTAGGAGGGAAATAATTTTTTAACAATAAACCCTTAATACCACAGAACACCTCCTTGGTTCTCTAGTCATTAGCATCTATAGTTGAAGAATTAACTTTCCCTTTAAAATATATAATAACTATATTCATGAAAGCGTGTAAGCCAGCGACTTCATGCCTCATGCATGCATGTCTATGCATGTCTATGTATGTCCCCATTTTAGATAGCCAATTTCTAATTTTCCCATTCCCATCAAACCAGTACTCTGATGAAGTAAGCATGTTCTTTCCTTTGAAGAATTTTGTTTGCATTTGGAAACTTTGAGCATCTACATCCATAAAGACAGACCAGTCCAGAGCAAGCCATGAGCTTACAACAATCAAGACTAGTTCACAGCATGGAACATCTTATCTACATCTGGCTGGGTTCTGGTCAACTCATCTACAGCCATTCAGAACTAGGTTCAAATGGGCATCAGCTGCAAACTCAGGAGTCCATACTTCTTCCTGTGCTCCAGATCAACTGGTCCAAGCTGTGCCTGATTCTTGATTGCTGTATGTCTCCAGTAGACCCTGGTGGTCACCATGACTAAGCAAACTTGCTAGTACCCTCCAACTTCAAGTCCTGGAAGGGAGCTCTGATGGGTTAACAAACCTTTCACTGCCTCAGAAGCCAAACCACTTGTTGTAGTTTTAAAAAGTCTCTTTTCTTCTCCTTTTCCTTCCAAACATAAATCTCTTCAATCAAGAGTCCAAGGAGGGTCTATAAATCCATTCACATGCACATCTCAGGGTACTATTTATTGCTATTAGGTGCCTGTGAGTCAAGTATAACTCATAGTGACCCTATGAACAACAGATCTGACCCCTATCCTATCTTATGCTATCCTGTCCTACGCCAACCTTACAATCTCTGAACACACTCGAGCCCACTGCTGTAGTCACTGTGTCAATCCATCTGGTTGAGGGTCTTCATTTCCTTCACTGTCCCTCCACCTTTTCAAACTTAATGTCTTTCTCCAAGGAACAGCCTTCTCCTAGCAACCTGCCCAAAGTATGTGAGATGAGGTTTCAACAGCCTTGTCTCCAAGGTGCACTCTGGCCTCAGCATTTCCAAGATCTATCTGTTTGTTATTTTTGCAGTCCATGTGATATTTAATATTCTCTTCCAACACTTCTGGGCCCCTGTGTCCACTTCCAAATTCTACTATTTTCAACAAGCATTTTTCAGGGCAAATATTTCCCTTTTAGTATATCCAATTAATAAGCTGAAGGCGGGAGTTACACGCTTTCCATATCTGCATTATCCAGTATTTATGTTTACAGTATATCTTAACATTTCTATGTAGAAGAAACATAGAGAAAACATTAATGTCTTATAAATGTAAATCAACAAGAACCTTAATTATTTTTACAATGTATCTTAACATTACTATATGAAAGAAACAGCAATATTCATAAATGTAAATCAATATAAGTCTTAACACAAATCTTTTAAGGAATTCCAAGTTTCAATTTCATTCTCCATCCTTAACTTCTTTCATGTGACCTTAAGACTTGCCTTTTGCCTCAGGCCAAAAGCAGCTTAACTTTCTTTCCATTTTATTAGCAGCAAAAGTAGCTATTTTAACTGTATTTCTTAAGCCCCTAATTTGTTACTCTTACAAAATCCCACACTTCCATGAGTCTGGAGCCATCAGAATGTATACAGCTCTGACAGGAACTGTAAAAAGAGTAAGGGCTACATGAGGAAGGCCTTATGTGACCTTTACTAAATCCACATTAGGGAATGGTCCCTATCAACACAAAATCAATCCCCACGAGGTCAGACATGTCCCCCATGCTCCCATACCTCTTTCTATTCATCCCAACACCAAGTTTACTGCTTTACTGGGTCCAAAATATGATTTGCTAGCTCAAAGGTCACACAGCACCATATCAGAGAATTACAAAAGGCTGTAATTCAGGCTGGTAGCAGAATACAGTCAACAGCTTCTGAAATGTGCTCAGAGGTGCATTAATCTTGAACCTCACGGCTTTAGGCCACAACTACAAAGCTCTCAATCTTACAAATCACGGCTCTGCTCCCCACATCCCCCAACCCCCAGTCCTCCAGCAAACTTGGGCAAAGGTCCTTAGCTCTGGTTCCCCTGGGGTAGCAGTCCCAAGGTCTGCTGCATCTCATGTCAGGTCTCAGTTCTTTTCTGTGGCTGATAAGGTTGTTGCTCCCGTAGACCCTCGTCTGAGAGGCCAAGACTCTGACCCCAACAAACACTCTGTCTTCTTCTTCTTCTTTCCTGATGGTATAGATCTTGACTTCTGCTACCAGGTCTGCTCAATTTAATAGTCAGATTAGCCAATTCCCTTGTGGCTAGGGTAACACGCCCTATTCACATATTGCTACCAATCCACATGGCAAAGTCAGTTAATGGCTATGGAAGCCATTTGAACAATAAACCCTTAATGCTATATATGTAATTATTATTGTTCTATGCCCATTATCACTCCAACTTTTCAAGTCCCCATTGAACATTTTCCATTTCTTCACCACCCCCTCTGCATATCTATCTCTACTATCTCAGTGATTTTCTCCCTCTCCCTCCTTCTCCCCCTTTTGAACATTTCTATATTATCTTACTCAGTTATCCTATTCTCAAAGTACTGGCCTTATGCAATATTTGTTCTTACGTGGCACTTCAGCATAATACTCTGCCAGTAGAAAACTGAAACGGAATTCACATCTCACACCATATACACAACCCCACTCAAAGTGGATCAGAGAACTATGGATAAAATGAAAATTTATAAAGATTATAAGAGACAAAACTGGAATAAAATTAGAAGCTCTTGCTATAGCATAAACAGTCTTGCAAATGTAGCCCAAAATACACAACTTGGAGAAGATAAAATTGATGAATGAGACTTTCTTAAATCAAATCCCTGTGTGCATCAAAAACCTCCATTAGGGTGAAAAAGAATCTCACAGATTTGGGGGGAAAATATTTGGCAATGAATTATTGTATAAGGGTTTCATAACTAAATTTTGCAGAAAACTATAGGTTCTCCAAAATAAAAAGACTGACAGCTCAGCCACAAAACGGGAAAGACATGAAAAGTCTTTGTACAAAGAAGGACATTCAGATGGCCAAGAAACACATGAGGAAATGTTCAAAATCACCTGCATTCAGAGACATGCAAATCCAAACGAGAATCCATCTCACTCCTCAGAGTTGTGAAAACTGGTTTCTTCATTTGTATAGACACATGACCAGCACCTGGAAAGTCATCAACATTAGCTCCTTAAAGTCAGCAGATAGACTGAGCTATCACTATCTCTCAATCTTCGTCACTCACCATTTCCGCATCCAACTGGTCTAGACCTACCTCTTCATACCATTGTCTGTGGTTTTCCTTCATGTGGTCAAGGATGACCTCCATAGTGATGCCAAACTCAATGACACTGGAACATCCATTTTGGTACTGATAAGAGAAGCCAGCAGTATGCATGGCCACTAATGAGAATTTTGAATCAAACACCGGGGAACCAGAAGACCCAAAGAAAAAACTGGTGTCATAGGTAATCACAGTGGGGTTGTCGATGATCTCCCTGAAGCTTTTCTCGGTTTGCATATGGACATATGGTGAACAGTCATAGCCTTCTGCCTGTCTAGCTTGAATATGTGCCTGACATTTTTCTTTTCGCTGATTCAGAGGGATCACAAGACAATTATCAGTAGACTTCACCTTTCCTTCTGGATGGCCAATAATACGTAACAACCCATTCAGCGGCACAGGGTGCAAGCCGGTGTACAGGCCTGGAGGCACCTGTTGCCCATTTTCCTTCAGTTTCAGGACAGCATAGTCGAGAGTTTCATCAGATACTTCAAGCCAAGGGTCAACGGTAAAGTACTTCTTTGATTGTTCCACATTCTCTTCATAATCAAAAGTCACTTTTAGACACTGACTAATTATGTTTGCCCACTGTCCGGTCTCTATTCCTTCTCCTACAATGAGATTTATAACATGGCGGCAAGTGAGAATGTATAATCCTTTAAAAACAAAGCAGGTGCCACAACCTTGGTTTCCATTATTGTCCCAGCACATGTACCCAACTGATTGACCATAATGAGAAAAATCTTTGTGTTCTTTCATCGTGGTAGAGTTGCTAACCAGTTTCCCAAAGTTTTCTTTATGAATGTTAAACAAGTTCCCCTTTTTCTTTCTATCTTTCATTTCTCGGTTGAAGCATTCTCTGATTTTTTCACTCTCTTGTTTCAAACTTGGGTACTGGTCCACAAGGTACATATTCAGTGTTTGGACGGGTCTTTGCTCCGACTCGGAATTCTGGGAGTCTGCTATCCTGGGGCTCATTCTTTTCTCAACCTCAAACTCAATGTCAAATGACTTGCCCTCTAAGTCATCCACTCGCTGACCGTTTTCTATAACGGAGTGACTGTTCTCAACCAGTCTCCACACGTGGTTCTCCAGAATGGGCAGAAACCTGCCGTCCTTGCACAGTGCTTCCTTGATAGTTTCTCCTTTGAAAGCATACACGCAAAATTTTAAGCCCTTTTTGTGAAGCATCATATACCTAATGATTTTTTTCCTCCCCTTCCCAATTGTGTTAATATAAAATTTGACACAGTCAGTGGAAACTCTTTCATCACACCGACGAAGTGTCTGTTTACCTGCTATAAATGTAATTACCAGGTGGGACATTTCAGGAAGACAGCTGAGGGGCATGCCAAGGTTTATATACCCTTCAAGTTTTTCTCTGCCACAGACCAACATCATTTTGCCTCGCTGAGACTTTATCTCTTTTTTGACAACATCAGCAGTGTTGAGTGCCACATACAAACTCTCTCTCTCGTTGTATGTGAGCATATATTTCCTTCTGTCATTGTTCCTGCAGTTTAAGTCCAAGGTGATGCTAATTGTCTTATGTTGGGGCTTCAGGGCCTGGTCTTTTGGATTTTCCTGAGTGCAGTGAGCTTTTTGAGCCTCAAAGTTAGTAATATCTCTTAGAGACTTGGTAGAGCCCTTCTTCATTTGAGGAGTATTGCAATTATTCTCTTGGTCCTTAGCGACCTAAGAAGAAACAAGATAAAGACTTTAAAACCCTGAATTCAACAGGAATCTTCTGCTTTCTTTTTTAGCATTCAATTTACAAAATTTCCGTGAAAAATTCAGGACCAAAGCAACCTAGCTCTCTTACTGCGAGTAAATCAGATCAACTAATAGTTGACCCTCCAGCTGTTTTTTGCAGGCGTAAATAATTTGGTAGTCAACAAAAATAACAACAACAAAATACAAGAGAAGAGACTGCCCAGCTTTCTCTGGAGGAGTCCTGGGGGATTTGAACTTTGCTTCCTCCCTCATAGTTCCTAGAAATATCTATCTCTATCTCTGTCTCTAACTCTATCTCTCTACGTCTCTATATCATCTATATCTACATCTACATCTATATCTACATCTACAACTATATCTATCATATATCTAATCTATATCTCTCTCTAGATCTCTATATATGCATATACTTCAATGCTATGGTATCAAGAGTTTTCTACCAAGACAGGAAACAGCTTGGGATCTCAAAATCTGTGAGCCCCAGCCAAACTCTATTTTCAACAGGACAGTGCAAAGAATTCAGAGTTTGACTTGAGATCCAAAATATTAGCAGGGTTTCCTGTTTTATCAGTCATGTTAAGTTTAATATTCAAATAAATCACTAGTTAACTAATCATGTGGTCTTAATGCAGTAATTTCTTATAATAAATATCTTGACTCACTTAGCCTTTTCTATAAAAGACCTCAAAACCTTTCCCTGATTACATCAATTAATCCTCAAATCCTCTGAAATGAAGAAGTGTAAATATGATTTCTTTATAATTTTTATCATAAAGCTGAGGCATAGTAAGTTTTCCCTGAAAGGGCTCTGCCTGCATTCACATATGGATGGCTATAAGAACTCCAATTTGTCGAGTATTTTACTTCACTGTCTATTCCTTCTGTACACTTGGGACAGCCTTCCTCTTATTACAGAGAATTACTTTAACTATCGGGTGTAGAGACAGAGAGATGCATTCAATGAGGAACATTAAATAAATATTAGAAACTCAATGAGAATGAAGAGGGTCAGATTTCTGTGTCCAGAAGATACATCTTCCCCGCTTATATTTATCATGGGGTTGTCAACACATAGACGTCCGCACATTTAGCAAAGCCATGTACAAACTCTGGGCCTAGCAATGCCAGATTGTAAAAATTAGGAGGAAGACTGTGTGTAACAAAGCGTAGCACAAAACCTAGTGCATTTATTTCTCTTCTTTGACATTACTTACTGGTAAGGGTATTCTGGAAGGAGCTCTGGTGGCACAGTGGTTAAACACTCAGTGACAAACTAAAAGCCTCCCCATCCTTCTTCCTAAGAAGCAGGCTGGTTATGTGTCTTCCAGGACAGATATCTTCTCTTGCTTTTTTGGCAGTCCATTGTATATTTGTTTGTTCTTTTGGCAGTCCATAATATTTTTCACCAACACCACAATTCAAAGGCACCAATTCTTCCTTGGTCTTCCTTACTCATTTACTAACTTCCACATGCATACGGGATAACTGGATACAACCATGACATGGGTCAGGAGCACCTTCTACCTCAGTGTGATAGCCTAGCTCTTTGGCAGATATTTTTCACTTTGAAAAATTAAATTCTGCAAGTTTTAAGTTGTTGAATATTTCCAAGATCCAGGAAGTGAATTTCTGGGCAAGGTGAACTTCAAAGTACAATTTCTAGAGTGGTTAAGCCTAATATTGATATGTGATGTGCAATACAGGAGCTTTTGCAGGCTAGTGGCAAGGAATTGCGCCATCAGTTCAAAGGTATGTTGCTCACATCCACCAGTGGCTTCATGGGAGAAAGATGGGCAACTTCCTCCTGTGCAATTTAGGCCTCTGAAAACCTGCTGGAGGGTCGGCTCCAGGTTGGTTCCAACTTGACAGTAGACAACACAACAAACAACAGCATGTACCCTGAATGTGTGCCATGAAAATGGTCTTGAAATAATAGGTCAGAGGAAAAGAGGAAGATCTTCAAGGAGCAGAGTATCCCGTGAACTAGCAGAAGAAGGAACGTATCTGTCTTGGAGGAAGTACAACCACGGTGTTCCTGAGAGGTAAGGATGGGATGGTGGAACTTCATCTCACATACCATGAGCGAGCAGGCTTTCAGCAGAAGTCAGTCCTTGGAAAAAGACCTCATATTGGGCAAGGTGGAGGGTCAGAGAAGCAGAGGAAGACCCTCAATATGACGGATTGACCCAGTGATGGTGACGATGGGCTTCAGCATGAGGATGATGGCTCTGAATAGGAGTTGACTTCGCAGCACATAACAGCAACAACCCAAAGGATAAAGACATTCAAAGAAGAATTGATGCCTTTGAATTATAGTATGGCTGTGGACTGCCATGGTGAATGAAGAATGCCTGCCGTACCAGGGACTACCACCACGGGCTTGAGTATAACAGATGGGGAGGAGGGTTCAGGATAGAGCAAGGTGCAGAACTGTGGTTCATAGGGTCACTAGGAGCTCCAGGAGACTCAATGGCACCTAACAACAACAACAACGTGGACTGTCAAAAGAACAAACAAATACATGGTGAAAGAAAAGCAGCCACGGTGCTCCCTAGAAACAAGGATGGCAAGACGTTGTCTCACGAACTTTGGGGCCTGTTAATGATGGGGTGGTATGTTTGTCTTACAGATATAAGACTTATGTAAAAAGAGAGGGGAAAGATAGGGTGGTATTAATAAGTTCAGCATTCTCTATATAGATATCAATTATAAAACTATAGTTTTCCAGCCTGCGAGACTGGTTGCTAGACCTTGGAGTTCTTAGCGTCCTTTCTTTGATCTGTTTTTCAGAAGAGGAGCTGCATCTCCTAGATTAGCTGTTATCTCTTTGAAGCTGTTTTCCCCAATCATATATAAATTGTAACTTCATCTGCCTATTTGCCTGGAAAGGGAGTATCTGAGTGTGAATGATTTTCTTTCAGATATGGAAATTGTAAGTATTATTAAGTAAGTTGATGTCTCACTCTCCTATAAAAGCCCATGACCACTCCCAGATGGGGAGGCAGTCTTGGAGGTGACTCCCTGTCTCCCAGATCTGTGTAATAAAGTGCATTTATGGATATTGCAATCAGTTTGAGAGATCACTTCCTGGAGAAAATATCATGCTTGTAACACTGGAGAGTTAGAGAAAGGAAGAAGAGCCTCAAGCAGTGGTCAACAAAAGTGGCTTAAAGACAAGAGAGATTAGAAATATGGTGCAGGATCAGGCAGTCTCTTCCTGGTGCAGGAAGGGGACTTAAGTCAGAGTCAACTCAACAGCATCTAACAAAACCAATGTCAGCATGCACAGCGGACATACCAGAGGGAAATAGTTCTCCATCTTCCCATACTTCTTCTCATTAAATGGGATCTTCAGAGACCTGCGGTTCTTAGGTTTCACCATGGCTTGATGACGAATAGACAGTTCAGCTGAAACAATAATGTCAAAAAGATTCAAGTCACTGTGGGACCATCACAGTGATAAGTCTTATGTGTAGGACTAACTGCGGGTGTGTGCGGGTGTGTGTGTGTGTGTGTGTGTGTGTGTGTGTCTACCTCCCATGTTTCTCCTTCCGTTGTAGCCTTTCTCTAGTCTCTTTCTCCACACTGATTCTAAATAAGCAAACAATCGTTTAGCCACCAAGTCTAGTCACCTCAACAATGAAAGCTCTCTTTATAGAGCAAGGAGTTTCTGAGAGTGCTAATAGTAAAAATGTTTGGCCGCTAATAGAAAAGAGGGTGTTGAGAGCACCTGGAAAGAAAAAAAAAAA